ATTTGTGTCAAGAACTAATATTTAGCAGCTCAGTATCCTTTATCGAGGACCAAAAATCTGGAATTCTTTGAAAAATTACACTAACCAGCTTCTCTTTCATATTTGTTATTAAAAAATTCTGAAAAATTATCTCGTCATAGATAGTCGCGCTGTTGCTTAAGTTTGATGTTCTCTGTACACTGTGCATTGAACTAATTGTAATAAGTAATTAGTAAAGCATTGTAATTAGTACTAAGTTGAGAGTTGTAATTAGTTAAATTTTTCCGGTAATACTTGTAAAATAATTATTGTTTCCGAAAAGCCCCTTTCGGTTAGAAACAATAAAGAAAGAAAGTAGTGTGGATTTCGTGACTGGATTCGCGAAAAACGCTTATTTTGCTAGATGGTTTGAGCCACTCCGGTTAGCTAGGCGGCTAGCCCGCTTTACCAGGCTGGTTCAGCTCATGCCTTGTTTCCACTTAATACGAGAAGGCGGGCTAGCTTGCTTTCCAAGATGCCGGTTTCTCGAGCTGAGATCTCGTCAAGCGTGCTTGCCCGCCTTTACATATAAACACAATAATAATTTTAAGAAAAAATAAAGCATAAGCCGAACTAGCCCGGTAAAGAGCGGCCAATCCAGGCAAACCGGGCTGGCTCACCTCATATAGACAGGCTTTAACCCTATTCAGACTGGGCCTTTTTGGTCAATCTGTGACTGGGGGGGGCTCCTCGGACCCCCCCTCTGTATCTCTGGAACCAATAATGCTAGGGTCATGAAATTTACACACAATGATCATCTCCGTACAGAAAAGCCCCACACCCAGTTTTGACTTGCCACGCCCGATGATGACGTCACAGTGACGTCATATTCCGATTTTTCAATGTTTCTTATTATTTTTCCACTTATATACGTAAAATATCAATAATATTGGTAAAGTCATCTCTTTAATATAATATACAACATATATGCATATAAAATACACACTTTGACATGTGTTTTGATACTTTAAAGGTGCTAATGACGTCATAATTGCCAAAATTTGAAATGGTTGTCCACCATCTTGGATCCGCCATCCTGGATTTCCGTTTTTTTGTTGAAATTATAATTTAAAGCAACTTTCAAAGGGGAAAAAGCTCAGAATGTATAAAAGAAGTATCAAACTAATGTTTATTACCCAAACAAATGACTTTGGAAGTGCTATTTGGAAAACAGAGCAGCATATTTGTCAAAGCAAAAAAGTGACAAATTTTACCCCACCCCTCCCCCCAAATATTCGATGTTGAAACATTTTGATGTAATTCAAAAACTAGTCCCAAGCAAAGACCATTTTAACAACAAAAAGCACTATAAGTGTAAAAACGCGATCTTAAAACAAAAAAATCACCATTTTTTAAATTTTCCAAAACCTATGTGTCAGAAACTGGTTGCCATGGCAACATGATTAATCACATGGACATGGTAATTATACCAAAATGTTCCTAGATAAATTTTAGGAAAAGTCAGAAAATTTGAACGTCATAGCTCTTTCGGTGTAGGAGTTATTACGATTTTGCCGGAGGGGGGGTTCGAAAAGCCCCCCCCCCCCCAGTCTGAATAGGGTTAAATGATCCTCGATCGTATCACACAAAAAGACTCCTCATCGCATCAAGAAAATGAATTTATTATTTGTTAAGAATACCTTATTTTGGAAGTTCTAACAAGCACGTCCAAATAGTGCAAATTCATTTTTTTTGTGCCTGCTGACAACTTTGATGCCTTTTACATGAAAGTACATTAATGATGATGACCTACCAGGGTATGAAATGATACAAGCAATTTTCGCTAGGTACGTTTTCGAAAAAACGGCTAGCTATATATGGTTACGAATAAAATAATGTCAATTATTCAATAAGAGCACTAACGCTGGCGCCAAAACAAAAAAATTTGCTCAGTTGATCAACTGAGCTAAAAAAGTCAGTTCTGTCACAGTCGGCCGTAAAGAAGGGATGCCTTTAAGCGCTAGCCCTTTGCCCAGATCGAGAGCGAGGGTCGAAAATTTAAATTTAAACGGCTATCTGGCAAAGATGTACTCTCTAGCTATTGTTTGTATGCGAAAACGTAAAATATCAAGGCGCTCTAAAATATTACAAAGTACGCTGAAAACCGATTTACAAACGATCATGTAACTGTTGAACGTTTTTCTCCACACTTAAACGCCCAGTTTGTGGGTAACTGAATAGACTGTTTTTGGAATTGAACATTAAGAAAAATGGTCACTTTTCTAGTTCTAAAGCTGGTGGAAAAAGATTTTCTTTCTCTTTTAATTAAAAGTAAGGCTTTTCAATATTACTTACTACTAAAGTTGGTTTCATAATGTGTTGCTAAGAGAACTGTAAAATCATCTCTTGGGTAAATTAAGGACTGAATTACTATATTTTATTTCAAAAACTTAACCTGATACTACGCTGATGCTTACAACTTTTTGGTAATTTTTGCTTTTAATGAAGTCGTTCAGTGATTCTACAGCCAGAGTTTGCCAGTAAAACCTCCATTTTTAAATCTCCTGCACTTAATTGGGTCAGTAACAAAATTCTTGATTCTGATTGGTTTTCAGCTGCCTTTATTTATGGGTTAATCTGGCTGATGAAGCACCAAAACTGTCGTCCAATTAGACCTGTCCGATTAGAAGCTGCTTAATCGAACAAGTCAAATGGGATCGTTGAAAAAAACAATAAAAACAAAGCATCAAATGTTGCTAGCAAATGAGGCTTAAAAATTAGTCTTTAATACCAAATCAAAACCAAGAAAAAAAACTTCAGTGGGCAAGTCTTTCAGCTCCAGTTTGACCAGGAACCCAGTTTTTGGCTGGACACAAAATTAAAAAAAGTTTATGCAGTTCTACCTTTACATCTCGATATTTTCTACAAAAGCTGTAAGCCTTTTTTTGCATTTGAACCTGTAAGCTGGTGTAAAAAGAACCTTGCCTTTAAAAATATTCCAATTATAAGATTATCGCATTTAATAATAAGTGTCGTAAAATTCGGGTATAATCACAAGGTCCCTAAGAATCGGCCAATGTGAAATTACTCCCCTGGTTAATGCGTGAATTGTACTTCACTCAGTCCTTATACTATTTCTTTACTTATCATCACACTTTGCCTTGACTGGGACTTGATCCCTCCATTTGAATGCTATTGCACTGTAGAAAAGGACATGGGGTCCTGGGCTTTGATCAAACTTCATTTGTTCCTTATCTGAAGCCTGCCAGCATTTCAAAGTGTAGACTTGATCCTGATCGGCCTTATCTGAATTACGGCAATACAGCTCACAGATGTTAAGGTGTGGGTCTTTCATCACTAGTTGAATAGCTTTCTCATACGCTTGTTCCTTTTTAAGTTTGAATGCAGAATAAAACATTTTCCCATTTGAAGGCCAAAATCCGTAATCCTTTTCAAGGTCCTAGGAGCAAACACAACACATTATTAATAAACATGATAATGAAAATGATAGTGATGATGGTAATGACAATGATAATGAACAATAGTTGACTGCTAAGTTGTATGTGTATAGAATTGTGCAGATCGAGGAAAATGTTATAATAGACTCCGGGATCAGCATAATTCTTCACATCATACGAAATCCGAATTTAAAATTAGTTTAGTTATTTGTTCAAAATATTTCTATAATAAGTTTACCACCGCGTAGAATAGTTTTCTTCAAAACTTCCGCAGATTTCTCGGCACGGTTTCAGGATGTAGACGTCTGGTTATTTTCCTTACATATACTCCTCAAAAATTAGATAACAGACTACGATAGAGCAATATGCATTGCGTATTATTGCATTTCTTCCCTTAAGCTTTAGTCAGAAATTCAGCTATCTATTTTTGTTTTCGGGTAACCGGGAACGCCATTTTTAGTTCACTTAGTATGATTGCTTAACCAGCCTTGTTTCCTGGCAAATATACCATCGATTAAACTCGCTTCCAAGTAAATAAACATCGAATCGATCGGTATACTGCTTGCATCCTCCAAATATGGTAAGCGCCAGTTCATTATGAGGAATTTCATGAACGGTGAGATTGGAGCCAATCAGAAGTGGCGGAATATTTGGAATTAATGAGAATGATAATGATACTATCAGTTACTGATGCCTTCGACGTTTCGATTTTTTTTATAAAGTATTTTTTCCTATTCCAAAAATGCGCTCTAGATTGGTCAAAACAATTACACTACACCTCAGTATAGCCCCGCCCTTGAGAATCCCGAAAGGCTCTACAGCACGGCTCGTTTTTCATGTTTAATTTCTTGAAGATAATTTTAGTTAGCCGTAGAAATAGGAATCTTAAACAAACTTAATTAAGAGGCATGTTGCTACTGTATAAATTGTCATTGTTTAAAATTTGTAGCACTGTCTCTGACTGTACTGTCTTTCCATTTACCATTTGCACATCTCTCATAATACACCTAGTTTGCTCCTCCAAAATTATGCATAGGCATTGTCTTTAATTTCTCCGGGGACCTTTGTAATACCCAGAGAAAATAAAAAACAAAGGTTATGCGGACTTATGGTGGGAAAAAAATGTGTATTATGGGAGATGTGCAATTAGCGAGGCGATCAATCGAAAAAAGCATTTAAATACTGAGCCTAATATAGAGTGTTTTCACATGACGTCACGGTGGCCATATTGGTGTCCCAAAACAATGAAACAGCGGCCATGTTGGTGTCCCAAACCAATCCTGTGGGAGTTGAACTCTTTTCTTATGTAAACGCTTTCTATTGTTTCAATAATTTGCATAGATGCTGGTCTCGTGAGTGAAAACGCTCTATATCAAGAGTATAGCTTTTCAATTGCTTTGATGAGAAAAATGTTGGTAATCAACAACAGCCCTTTTCACCTTCATAGAATGAACTTGATATTTTCCATTTCAAAGGACTATTGAGCATTCTTAGATTCATTCGTTTTTAAGTGTTTCGTAATATATTCAAAATAATTTATACCTGCTCAAAAAAAAAAGTGACGTAACCAAACTCAAAAATACTAACCCTCTCTTGATATTCTTTGCTTAACTCTTGCAGTTCCATTCGAACGTCCTCCTTTTTTCTACGTTTGTCGTAAAATTTCTTCAATTCTTTAGAGACTTCTTTTTTCTTTTCCTCCTCTTCGTCCCAGGTAACTTCCAAGACTTGAGCTGCGTCTTCATAACTGCCCCCCAGATTTCTGAGCAATTCCCAAATTGGTATGTAGGCTTCATGAGGACCACGGTCAATCAAGGCCCAGGTGGAGTTGTAAGACAATAATTTTTGAAAGACCACTGGATTTGTCGCCGCTGGCCCCATTGCATGAACAGTGTAAGTATAAGAGGTCTTTTTCTGATCTTCTTGCTCTCCCTGAGTCTCGCCTGTGCTTTCTTGGTGCTCTGCTTTTACGCTTCCCCCAATGCCAAACGCTCCGCCAAGAAAACCGAATGACATCTGTGTTTGAAGCTTTTCTGTGGCTGCTTTGGTCAGAGTTGTTGTCTTTTGTACTCCCTCGCTTTCGGCGTCTGCAATGCTAAAAAACACTCCACCAAGCGTTTGAACACCAGCAGGAACGTGACTCCCGAACATTTCCATGAAACGGCGCGCTCTGGCTTTCCTCTTCTCGGCGTCCTTCTCAGAAAGTTTGCTGATAAAATTTGCCATTAACTTTGCACTTTCTGTCAGCTTCATTTGCTCTTGCTCTATCTGGAAACATTTCTTGGCAGTCCAAATGAATTGAAGAACAGAGGCACTGGTACTGTACGTTTTAACAGATCGCGTCTCATCGCGGTGTTCTTCTGAGCTGTATGCCCCTTTAACTTCTCCTACAAATCCTCCGTAAAATCCAGCCACACCAAACCCAATACTTGCACTTGACGACTTGACAGTGTGCACATAGTTTGCTGCCGCTCTGCTTTCTTGGAATTTAAGGTACCTTATCTTCATAGCGTCATCTGGATTTGTCAGAGTGACGTTTGAGGGCATCAAGATAATTGGTCTTCCAGCTGTTTGAGGCGACGCATACTTTGAGTAATAAATACCCCGAAGTGAGCGACCACCACTCGCCTTGGCAACGGCGTCAAGATCATTTTTGTAAGACTCTGCAACTTCTGCGATACTGCTGTATTGGTTAATTATGCCACCAAGATCTGTCAGCAGCTGCTCGGGGGTGACTGTATCTTGTTTGCACCAGTCCGATGGCAACTCAAGGACCTTCATCATCTCAGTCATTTTCTCTTTTGTGGCTTTTTTTGCCTCTTCCGACTGCTCCGTGGCCATGGCTGTTGCCTCATTCATCAATTCCTTGGCTTTCTTTAACTTTTCTTCATCGACTGCCTTTGTGTCTGGATTCTCTGAAGGTAGCTTCAGATCAGGTGGTAGGGCAGAGGTCTGCCTGTTGTAAGCTTCGGCAACTTTTCCCAGTTGACGCACAACCTCTAGTTCTCCTTTACTTGCCTTCTCACCCTCGTCTTCCGAACTTTCTGATTCCGTTGGCTTTCCCGATCCTTCAGTATCATTGTTACTTGGTGACTCTTCGGCCTTTTTTGGTTCCTCTGGCGTCGTGCACAAACTTTCCAGTTCCTCCGCTGGAAGCCGGCTGAGTGAGTGAAGCGATGGGACCTTATCAATTAGTCTTTTAACCCATGGTTTGGTTACGTCAATTCCTTTGGCTTTCAGTCCACCAAGTACTTCCAGATTCGGTCCCAGTCTTCGTTTTACCATTCCGAGTCCTTCACCATTCAAAACATCTTTGGAGGTCAAATACAGATGTTCAGCGAGTTCGGGGACTTTTGTCAGAAACTTCGACACAAGGGTACGCGCCTCTGAGGCCAATCCAGCATTTTCCACCATCTTCTGAACGTCATTACTTAAATTAAACCACGGCAGGAGACATCATTGAGCTCGTGGAACAGTTGATCTTTAAGTTCGGTATTGTGAAAATTGGAAATCTTTTTTTCCAGTTGTCTGATCTGTCCCTCAGTTTTACTGGGATCACTTTTGTCCTGCATAATTTTGCGGATTTCCCCGAGTATTCTCTCGTAACGCTGTTTCTCTTCTTCCTCTCTCTTTCTTTCCTTCTCCTCCTATTTTTCTTCTTTCTTTGTTTTATCTTCTTTTTCTTCCTCTGGTCGTTCGTCTTCCTCAATCACACCGTCCACACTGTCACGCTCTAAATCTTTCTTGTCGCTGGTCTTGGTGCCTGTAGCGTACCTTTTTATTGAATCCCAGATACTCCACATTGTGGATAATCTAGATAAAAAATGAATTAGGGATCCATAAAATTTATATAATTGGCATGATCGTTCGTAATTAAGGTGGCTAGGTAACGCTATATGCCATCTTTTCTAAAAAGAGCTCACTAAAACGTGTTTTCGCATCATGAGAGCGATTTTTGCATGACCTTGGAATGAAAACCGCGCGAACAAAACAGAAACAGCAAATGAACGTAGATAGAGCGATTTGATAAGTTCATCGCGTGGATAAAAACGCGCGTACTTTTCTTTTGGGTGGTTAAGAGAATGCTCGGCTGAAACAACTTCTTTGCGCGAGAACTTTCTAGAAACCAATCGATACTCCCCTTTGACGTCATACTCTAACACGATTGGCCAATCAAACAACGCCTCCTCCATATTAGCACAGGGATGGTTATGCGTGTGGTAAATCATAACCCAAAAAACACAAGTACGGAGGCTTACGTTGAGTGCTGGCGATATGAATTGAAAATGGAGGAAAGAGAGAGAAATCGTGACAAGTTCCATATTCATGCTTCTTATGTAATTTATTACAAGGGTGGGGTGGGATGGCGGAGGGCGCTCCCGTACGTAAGCTTTAGTTAAAAGTGCCACGGACGTTTATCATTATTTTGCGGTCCTTTGATTGAATACCCGCATGTATAGAAGAATAGCAGAATTTGTAAGTTGCTGTATAGAACCGAAATGCCTCTTCAACAATGGGAAGAAAAGTAATAAAAACGACCTATTGAAAGATTTTGACTTATTGGCGCCCAGTGGAGAAACAGTCTTAATTCCTGGGCCTTCAAAAAGGGGAGCCAGTCAGTTCTGTTTTAATTTCCAACAGGTTCGTTTGGTGCTTATGAACGGCTGCACACATCTATCATAAGTTAACCGAAGTGCCCTTCCTAGCTCCTTCCCATGTATGCACCCGCCACAAGGTAGTGCATTGGCACGAGCACAACAAAATGAAACGATCTCCGAATAGTTACGTTGGTGCGTTGTGGTATAAGAATCAGCAAAATATGCTTGTAGATGGGCTATATCACGAGGATATTGCTGTTTTAGGTCAATTCTATGCGAATTTGTCTCTTATTCCATTTCCCCAGATGTAAATTGCTCCTTTAGAGTGAAGAAGACAATTTATGAAACTAATTTCACTAGTGTGCACTAACGATGATAACTGTTTTAGTAATTTTTGTAGGCATCTCAACTTTTTCAAGTCTCAATCCTCGTCCTTCCTTTCCATTGTAACATTAGAAAGGAAACAATTTCAATGCCTAAATATAGTCTTAACCCTTTAAGCTCTAAGAGCGATCAGCATCAAATTTCTCCTTGTAATATCAATGATCTGAAAAACAAAGTGGTCATGAGAATTACGGACATGATCACACAAGGGTTCACTTATCCTTTTTTAGTCAATATCATTCAATATCATTCTCGCAATAATGAACTGATGCTTGCTCCGTTGATATCAAATTCTCGTCGGCACTAAGTACCTTTCGTTACTCATTCTCGTTATCCATTCGTGAAAACAATATCCGTTCTTTCAAATGTTCGTTTCAATTCAAAGTTTACTTTTTCAGGCTTATCGTCTGTTTTAAGTATTTGGTTTCGGCTCACTGTTGGAGCGAAAGCAATGTATAGAAGACCAAAGAGTCCGGATTGATGAATCTTTCACTTGAAAATATATCATCTCATTTGTCTGGTTTGGTTTATTTCGAAATATTGGAATACATGGTAAAATGAAAAGATCTGTTTCAGCCCCAAAGAACCAATTTAGCCATGCAGGCGAAAGCCTCTCCTGGAGCCATTTAGGCACAATTTATTAGCCATTAAAAACAGCTCCATCAAAAGCTAATTCTACGCACACTGCTGGGACTCGGTTCAGCCCGTGGGTCCAAATCAGCTCTAGATAACTGGACTGTATTGGCCTTGTGATTAGACGAGCCAAATTAGGTTCAAATTATTTAGACTGGCTGAGAGTGTCCATTTGACACGCGCCGATCTTAATTTCAGCCGAGCTAAATTCAAAGGAGAAAAGTGTTTATTTCGGCCAAACTGCTTGCGAAATACGTTATAATATAATTTAATTATGCATTAGGTTTGGCACATGAAAAGCTCGGAGTCTGAATCCAAGTCGGCCGCATAGCAGAGAACATTAACTTTTCGTCGTCCGATCATAGGATCGTTTTCCTCCTTTTCCAGTTTCAGGAGGATGGGAGAGATAAAGAAAATAAAGTGCTTGGCTGCGACTGCATTTAGCTCGGACAATAACAAATAATCCTCTGACTGTACTTGCCTGGGTAAACTTTTATTGGCTCGCCTGTAAAGAGTTCCCGTAAAAACGTTGAAACGGCGAAGGATTATAAGCTTGTGAATTGCTCGCCTGAATAGACTTTTCGTAAAAACGTTGAAATGGCGAAGAGTATGTTGTAGCAGCCTCGTCCGTTCACAACGAAAACGCGAGGGTCAGAAAATATTTCTGCGATTGTTTCAAAGATCTTCAAATTGATCGTGTTTAAGACTACGAGTAGTCCCCCATTTTTCCTCAGGGATAGTAGAGCGAGCGAAACGCGAGCGCGCGTGAAAATCACCCCACGGGAGAAAGGCGAGACGCGGTGGGGAGAGAGCGTGTCGCCTTTTCTCGCGTGGGGTGATTTTCACGCGCGCTGGCGCCTCGCTCCCTCTCCTATCCCTGAGGAAAAATGGGAGACTACTCGTAGTGTAATCGTGTTTTAAATTGATCATCTTTCCCTGTCAAGCGCATCTTGAGTGTTCTCCAAACTTACCAAGTGCATCCATAACTCGATTTAGTCACAGACTGAAATATTTGCTTTTTGAATAACTTAACACGTGGAGCAGAAAAACAAACCCTTCTATTGGTTGGTTACAAACACGCCACAATCGTCAATCTTCCTGGAGTGATTATTTTGTTCAAAATAAGAGATGCTAGTGGAGAGAGAAAATACTTAATTACAGCGAGTAATTTAACGGAGCTTACGTTAACCTTAAATAAAAGTAGTAAGAACGTACTTTTGAAATGTTCTTCCAGTCGTTTTATATAGTATTATAGTATTGTTTGTTTAGATTTCTCCCCTGGGGTGGGGGCTTTTTTGACACTTCTGATTGACCTTTCGTTTCCCCCCCTGGGGAATTTGATAAAAAAATTTTAAAATTTTTAAAATTCCCACCCCTTGCCCGCCCTCCCCCCCCCCCCCCCCCCCCACGGGGTTTATATTGATAGGTGCATTATTCTTTATATGCACACGGTCGTGCGTATGGAAAGATTTTGCTCATAGCGACTCAATAGGACTTAGATAGGGCACGCACTCGCACTATGTTTATTTTTGGCAACTAGATGTCTTATTTTTGGCACACTAGCGTTTTATATCGCTGAAGCGCGAAGATGCCCTGAAATTGACACTTTCGCCTTCAGTCTTTGCCGTTGCTTTGCAAAGCCTTCGCGCGCGCAGTCTCCTCGCGTCCCTCGTATTTTTTTAGAGAAACATTGAAAAGTTATTCTTTTCTTGACACGTGGTTTGGGATGCCGTGGTTTGCCGTCACCTTCTGTTCCGCTTAACATTCAAAGAGCATTCCAGGAATCTACCATTCAGTTTATTTATTTCTTATTTATTTATTTATTTTATTTAGTCACACACAAAACCTTATACAACATGAACAAAAGGTGTTAATTAAATTATAAAATTAATGTGACAAGGAAGCCTAACGAACCTTGAAGCTTATATTAATAGGCTTCCTTCAACTACCTAGTGAACTAAATTCATGGCTGAGTGCAGAGTGAGCAAGATCAGAAAATTAAACGACAGATCGGCTATCAGTGAGATAATTCTTTAAATATTTTTTAAAAACAAATATAGAAGGAGGGCTAATTAATGAAACAGGCAACGAATTCCAGTTTTTAGGTCCTCGGTAAAGGATACTGAATTGCTTTATATTTGTTCTACAAAAATGAGGTCTATACTGAGAGGCTAGTCGAGTTTCGTATTGATGGACTTGATAACTACTTAAGAACAAGTCACGAAAGCTACTAGGCAAAAGATTATGGTGATAATGGTATTCCAAACTCCTTGAGCTGTATTCTGGCGTCAAGAGCCCAGTATATCGTTTATTCCAAAAAAAAAAAATTCTCGGATTCTGAATTCCACAAACAAAAATATCCCTGATGCCAGAATCCGGATTCCCTTACAAAGGGCGAAAAGATTCTAGGACTTGAGATCCCGCGTGATGCTGATCCTATATATTGATCCTATATATTTCCTGTTTTTAGAAAAGAATTGAAATATCCTTTTAAAATGATACTGGTTCACGTTAACCAGGGTGCTGTATGCTAAAATTATAGCAACCGGAAAAAAAAAATAATACTAAAACAGAAAAGACTTATTAAAAATGTCTCTGGAAGAGGAAACTAAAAATAAGAGGTTGTAAATTAAGAGAAGTAAAACTAGGACTTTTTTCTCAAAGAACAAGTGAGTAATCTCTTTTTTTAAAAAAAAAAAATTGGCTCTAGCTAATACTCACATTTTTTTTTTCTCGGACGACAGAGATTACAGATTGTTTGTTTTTTAGCTTTAGCTAATGACCAGTCAACCCCAACCCTGTTCCTAAAAAAAAAACCAACAACAACAACTTTCTAAATAATGATGTGAACTTATATTGATTTTCACGAACACGTTTTTCAGCTCAAAACGTTTCTTGTTAAGTATTACTAATATAATGGTAAAATTAAAAAAAAAAAAAAAAGAAATATATTATTAAAAATACAAAGGAAAAAACTGAATAATGTGCCTTCTGGCTTTGTTGTTACGATGGACAGCGCTCTATCCAGGCTATGGAGTTAATGTGGAAAACAAGAAAACTAAAAATAACAATCTGTTACTAAAATAGCTAGTTTTGCTGCGGCACGGAAGTTAATTTACGGAGCACTACTGCTACAAAGAAGCCGCTTGATCTGGACAGCATAGCCAAGCACGAGTGTTAATATAGGACACTATAAAATTCCGCATTCGCTGACATGAACCAGTACACTGAGTAATTCGGCTTCACGGCATCGAGTAGGCAGTCACTAAAAGTGAAGTACTGAATCGAAACAACACCATGAACGAAGTATTTAAAAAGCTTGGTAAGCTAAATTAAAAGATCTTTTACGAATTTCGCTTCTTTATTCGAAGCAGTGTTCTTTTTACTTCACTGACTTTGCTCACGTAATCTGCAGGTTCATTAACGGGCAGGTTTTATAACACACACCAAGAATGGTCAAAGGCTCCGGATTGGGTGAAGCAACAGTACGAAAATGAGCAGCAGCAGCATTGTGGTGACATAAGTAAGTAATCAGTCTTAACGATTTTTTCTTTCAAAAGGGCTATGTCATAGAGGTCGGGTTCATTTTGTTTAGTGTTCCCTATCACCCGCCCTTTATTCGCTGTAGAACTCAGTTAGCAATGAGATTACAGTACTAGATAATAACAAATTAACGCCTTGTGACAAACTCTCTTCCAAGCGTTAGCACTGAAAGTTACCACAACCTCCAATTCTACTCCTTATTCAATTTTTGCCTCCTTTTGGAGGCGGGGGGGAGGGGGAGGAATGGGTGGGGGCACTCAAGGGAAGTTTTGGCAGACTGACTTTCATTCAAATTCCACTACAATTCAAACATAAGTGACTGTTGTTTAAATACATTAAGTTACCAAATTCACCATTTTCCCTATTTGAATTTAGCCTCTCTTTACGGTGGTGCCCTGAAAGGAGCGGTTGATGCAGCGGCTCAATTTGCAAAGGAGAATCCCAGAGATGCAGCTAAGATGGGCGCACAAATAGCCAATTCTGCAGGAATAAGTCCGGAATACGGGATTTCCTTTGCTTCTGGATTTCTTGAAACTGCCGACCTTAGTGAGAAATGAAGAAGGGACAAGTTTACTTAATTACCTTGTTTTTTGCAAAAAATCATGTTTTACTCGTTAATTTGTTTATAAGCAATGCTAAATTAAAACTTAACTGGTGTTTCATCGTTCACAGTCTCTTTTGTATCTACTTTTGACCAGAACAGTGCCAATACCCATGGTATTATCTAGGAGACGATTAAATAAAAGGTCACTTTCAAAGAGCATCAATCGTGCGAGACAGGAATTTCATTTCATCATCATCATCATCATCATCATTATGGCTTAGCCTAACCAGAAAAATTGTAAGTTTTCCGGAAATATCTCTACAGAGAAAATTTCCTTTAATTGGTCAATAGGAACTGCCGGTAGCTAGCTAATATAAGCATATTAAATCAATATACACTGCAGGGTTCTCTATACGTTTTTATTCCATCGATAAGGTGGTTTTGGGAAAACACTGGACTTGTCCTATGAAATGTACAAAGATGTTGGCTTTGTCGTTTCGCGGGAAGAGCAAATAGCGGTAGCAAGCCAGATGAAGTTCAAACAAGTATAAAAATTGTTGACGTGTTCGTATAATACCTCTATCTCTTAGGTTACCCGTACGTTCACACTAAAGGTATACCTGATAGCTTTTGAGCCGGCACGAAAACCAGACCGGATACACTTAAGAACCAGTGGCGGATCTAGGGGAGAGGCCGGGGGGCCCAGGCCCTCCCCCTTATTTTTAGACCAAAATGAGGGATGAAGGGCCGAAAAAAGTTTTTTTTTGGGGCCGCCCCCTTATCTAAGAGTCTGGAAGACCCCCCCTCCCCTTATCTGAAGGTCTGGATCCGCCACTGAGAACGGTGATTTATTTCGGCCGCCGCCGATCTCTATGGAGAGTCACTTATCGGATAGATGTTCATACCATAGCGGATAGCTTTTCGTATCGGCACGAAAAATTATCTAGCCTGCGAACGCAGACGTATTTCCGGCCGGAAATACGCAGGCTAAAAGCTCAGGGGCACCAGACGACCGAATGTTTCCAAATCAGTCAGAAGTGTCTAAAATGGTTTTCCCTTTTAATTTGCCGGATTTGGAGCTGTCCTTAGGACTATTTATCAGTTCGGATGTCTTAGGGGAGCTTTAGTCGTCTCAAAAGTTTTAGGTGGTTTTCAGTCTCACCCGAGACTGTTAGCTACCCTGACGGGTCCGGTCGAAAGTTCAGGGATATGTGGTCGGCGTACTTTCATGAGAAAATTCTGGGGGACGTTTTATCTTTATACCGCAATATCTTGGTAACTAGTAATAGTTAACACTACAGCTGCCCCCGTTCTGTATATTGTCGATTAATAGTATTCTTGCTCGTTGTGTAGCTCTTTGAAATATACCGATTCATAATGAAGATTTTCACACATATTCCATACAATAGGTGAGATAAATACAGGAAACGCAAGGTTCCATGCACAGTTTCAGCTCGATTTACACAGCTTTGATCAAAACATTCTCAGTTTCGAGAATAGTTTTTCTAAACCATAAGAAAAGATTTAATTAGAAGTTGAATTTTTCGCTATTTCTCTATCACTTTTTACGTACAGTTCATTTTATTTGCCGGAAAGTTGGCCTTAGAATTTAAAAGGACGTTTGATCGATTCACGCTCGCGTATTCTAGTCTTATTTGAAACTTTATAACGGAAAGACATCTGTGAGCAGGGAATAAGTCAGCACAGAATTTGATTGTCGGCGAATTTCTGTAATCGTCCATCGTTCTGCTAGTGATAAGGTAGCCGTTGTTCACTTGTCTTGCTTGTTTGGGGCTGAGTCTTATTCCGGTCAAAGAGAGAGAAAGAGTGCACTGTATGGCAAGGTTTCCGATATAAATCAAAGATTTGTGAACTCGTGTCTGGCAAACTCTCCACGTGTTTATATATACACAGTTAAACGCACCTTATAACCTCATCTGAGCTTAACGAGTGTCTTTTGGTCCATAACTTTCAAAACAACTGCTCCACAGAATGTCACTGCGTAACGCAAAAGAGTATCGAAGTATGACTGCACAATAAATGTCACAAAATCTACCTGCATGAGCGGTCCTCGGGATTTTCTGTCTTTACGTCATCCTAACCATTTCGTACTTGCGGGCGCAAATAATAGAAACGTCATCATTACCTAACGATTCCCCGCGGCCCCTGTTCAAGCAAATCGAGACTTTTTCTATATTGATTGTATGACTGTATATTTCAACTGTAAGTACTTTCCTTAACATACGCGCGAGTTACTAGAGTGCCTCCTCGGGATTTCGCCTTCTGGGCGAAATCCCTGCGGGGGCAATAAAATGTGAAAGATAAAACCTGTGAAAATCGTAGGTAAGTTAGTAAAAAATTGGGAATATCTTAGAAGAATGGAACGGTTATCAACAAATTTTTCGCTTTTCTCGAGCTTCAGAAATTTCTTCTTCAATATTTGCTCATTCGAACAGTTATTTTACTGAAAAAAGTCATTGGATACTCCTGAAAGCTATCAGGTATAGTTTAAGTCTGCTACACCGCCGTTCTCTGCTGGTGTGGTGCCTCGGCTGAGTTGAAAACTCGACAAAATGCTAATTAAACAAGCCGGGAGCAGCAAGAAAATGTTTAGTTAAAGGAATGTGCGCTTAAATGGTTTTGTTGCTGGCGAGCTTTTGGGAACCAGTGCTGAAACTGTTCTCTACAATAGCGGGAAAAAGCCAAAATTTGTCGGATGTAAGATCAGGAGCATGCGCAGTCGATTGGTCTTCTTATTATCCGGGGCATTCACTCCTGTGCAACAACGTAAAAATCGCGTGGACATCAAGTAAATTTCCAGGGTGCCAAGAAGAATTATAGAAAGGAGATGAGTGTTTAATTTAGTGATTGCGATTGCAGTTTTTTTTTATGTTCCAGATGTCTTATTGGCTTGTAGAGGTATTCATCAAGGTCTCGATCCAGAACATTTTACTGATGAATCTCGAGGAAGACGAGAATTAAATGTGTTTAGTTGCTGTCTATTTACCGATTCGCGAACAAATGTAGGTGTAGCCTATGAGCAAGCTCTCCCTGGCGCTCTGGCGGCGGGGCGGGAAAAGGATGGAGAGCTTCCAACTACGTCTCTGGAATTTGAGTTCCACCTCCAATTCCCCTGTGGCTTCTCGTCGACTGAGCTGTCAGATTTCTGCCAATCAGGTCGAAGCGGAAACGAGCGCGAATGTAAACAAACATTGAAAAGTATGTGCCAAAGGTAATGACGTCAGTACTAATGTCATCTCCGCCAATCAGCATTTCGCATCAACTTTTTCGCTGCAGATGTTCAAATTCCAGAGACGTAGGGCGCTTTCCATTTACGAAAAAACCCCGGAAATTTCGGTGGTAGCAAAAGTGGAATTTCCGATTGGTAAAAAGTTGTTCCATTTGGTCGTAAACCCCGGTACGTGGCTGGGTGCCCGACCGTGGACCTGGAACTGGTACAAACTACAAGAAACGTAAATGGAACACGACTTCCGTTCGGCAATTCCAACCGGGAAAACGGGACCACCTTTTTAGATTTTCCACTTTTTCTGGGAATTTTCCAGTGGGACGAACCGACGAAACGTGTTCCATTTACCTCCCAACCGGAAATTCCGGAAATTTTAACTAAATGGAAAGCGCCCGTAGTTGCAAAGCTCTCCTTTCCTTTTCCCTCCCCGCCGCAAGAGCTCCCGGGAGAGCTTGCTCGCAGGCTAATGGAGGTGCAAAGATATCGATCAAATCCCCCTTCATGAGATAGTTTTTTTTTCTCTATGCATTCAGCGTTAGTGAAGTGCCAGACAAAAATAATCCTATTCGGAGTAAACTGACGACTCGAACTTGCTGGTCTCGGGAAGAAAAGAAAGAAAGGTGCGAGGCAAACAAGGTTTTTGTCCAAAGCGACTTCGGTACCAAATGCAAATTAAAGTATTCGTTGCCCGCTTGGGCGTCAAATTTAATCGTTGTAACAAAACCTCTGCCCCCGGGTTGAGGTAAATAATTCAACTAATACTTTGACTATTGAGTCACATTTGTCCGTTGAGGCGAAAGAGAAGCTTGGAACTAAGGATTCACAATGTTTACTACTCTTTGAAGCTAACCACTGGCTAACCAATCAACTGTAAAATTATTTGACTGACGCTTTGACAAGTGCCTGTTACAAAGACTACAGTCGGGTCCAATTGTTTTAGTTTTGCTTTTTTTCATTGAACTTGAACATCCGTGAATATATATCAGTATTGCCGAAAGGGGCTACCCGAATTTCAACGAACAAATGTTTGATTGTGACATTTAAAAACAGCATAGAGCCAACAAGGTTCCATCGATGCGAAATATACCCGTTATCCGTGCGTTGATCTTGCCACCTCCACTTTCGAATCGGCAAAGTTTTTGACATAGTTGAGCAGCCAAACACATACAAATCAGGGGCACCTAACGAGAATATAGTTCAAAACAACTTAAGCATAGCATTGTTAAACGTACTTTAGTATTTAAACAGTAGGCATTTTTTTATGCCCTAAAACTTTTCCATCTGTTCGGATTTCCTAGCTGAAAGTCTAGTGATCTGAAAATTATAGCGATCAAAACTTACCTTTTCGAAAATTTTAGCCAGAAAAAAGGGTCCCGAACATTCTAGGCGACCATTTTAGAGGAAATATCCGTTAAAAAATGGGCACTAATACCATTTTTTAGATGTTCGAAAATCCGTTAGGAGAGGCAGGCAAGCAAGAAATTTTACAACAAATGTTCCGAAAATTCTAGATCTCAAGCCGAACAGATATTTCCGAAAATTGACGTTGGGTGCCCCTGAAAAATCCCTTTTCTTTCTCAAGATTAATCACTACGCCGTTCGTGACCTTGATAAATACTTTACCAAGCAAGTCAAGTAAGGTAGAAAATAAAAACAAGCAATTACTAAAAACTCAGTCCTCATTTTTCATCTGCTCACACTCTTGAAATTTACTCGAAGGGCTTTTCCCTTTTTTCTACACCAATACACAAAAACAAAATATTTTT